ATAATGCCTGTAAATATTATTTAGCTACTTTGTTCTAAGGTTCATAGAAGATAAGGTATGTAAAGTGCTTTGCAAACTTTAAATACTCAACAAATATCAATTTTTTTATGTTGATGGAACATTAATGTAAGATCTTTTTTGTATGTATCATAAGCACATAGTTGTCTTTAGCTCCCTTCATTTCTCTATTATGCTTCTTAAGATAGAGTAAGGTACCCTCCTTCTTCTTTCTCTGAATGGAGTCTAAAGTAACAATCTTTGGCTTAAAGCACTTGGTTCTTAGGTCATCTTTCCTGTTAGGCATTACAGTGCTTGCAATTGATGCAATTTCTGACCTTTTTCTTTATAAAACAAATGTTCTTTTGCAATGTTAAGTAAAGGTAAATTTGTCTTTCTTTCTCCTCTCTCAGTAGTTCTCAAGATCACACTCAGCCTAGTAAATAAATCTGAACTGGGAAATTAGACTAAGGCCTCATAGTTAAGGGCCAACTAAATGTAGGGGTAGCTCAATTTTCCTTCATTTAGAGGATTTTATTTGCTTACTGAGACATGAGGAAGCAGAAATTTTAAAATTTCTCCCAAGGAAAAATTCTAATAGCATATGATTCTTTTAAAAACTGGTTTCAGAAAAGTGACCAACTCTCAAGATCTATTAATCCTTCCTCTCTCTCTCTCTCTCTCTCTCTTTCTCTTTCTCTCTCTCCCCCCTTCTTCTTCTCTCTCTCCTTGGTTGGAATGAATAGGAGAGAAGAAAGGCTGATGTATGAAAACAAAACACTTTAGTTTAAACTTAATTATAATTAAAGGCTATTTAAAGTTTTCTGGTATGAAGGCTAACACCATATTTATATTTTCTCTTCCTATATAGATAAGCAAGCTTCAGAACAGACTGCTAAGAAAAGAATCTGCATTGAGAGCAATGAAATCCAAACTGGATAGTTACAGAGAACGTAATGCCAGACAAAGTTCTCAGATCTGGTCTTTGAAAGGACAGGTCAAAGATTTAGAAGAAATCAATGCTTCGGCCAAAAGGATAAGCACTTTAAAAGACATCAGCATTGAGATGCTAGAAAAAGAAAAGTGGGTCTTAAGGGAAAGAATTTCAGAACATGAAAGCCTTCAAAGGTAAGGTGTTTTCACATTTGTTTCCACATTGGGTGATATGGTGAAAAATTCACTTATCAAGATGGAGGCTTCCTGGCTCCTAGTCCTGCTAACTCACTTGCTTGATGACCTTGGGCAAGCCATTTCATCTCTCTGAGACTTAGTTTCCTCATATGTTAAAGGAGAGGGTTGAACTCTTAAGGTCTCTGCTAAAAAAATCCTTGATTCTCCAAAAGGTTTCATCATTAGCTTATTACTGTCCTAAGATCTCCATACTGATTACCAATCACAGAGTTTATATCAAGTCAAAAGGCACATGCCTTAGGAGTCACCATTATGTAAAATATTCCACTTTTTGTTGGGTATAGAGACAATGGCCTGCTGTGAGGAGAAAGGAGAGCCAATATCCTTTTTGGGGTGTGTGTGTACAGGAGGGTTTAGTGGAGGTTAGGGGGGTGGATTATAGCCCAGGTTATTTAAAATACAGATACTTGAGGAAGTCCCAGGAATTACTAGTAGTGTAAGGCTCAGGAAGAGGAGGCCTAGAAAGGATTGTGCCCAGACATGACACTTGAATTGTATCAGTCTCCTATTTCCAATTCTACATTGCTTATAATATGACCCACCATCCAACTGACTGTGAGGTTGAGGGCTATTGGACACCCCTCTTACAAGGTAAAAGAAAATGAAGTCTTGCAGCACAGCTGCAAGAAGACAACTTGTCTTCTGAGATGTGCATTTCCCAAAATGTTTTAGAAGAGAAAATACTCAGGAGCCTAAAATGGAGTTGGGAACCAAACTTTTATGAGGAACAAGAGATCAATATAAACTTAAGGGCCAGTAAAAGGGAGAAAAAGAGGATTCTGTCTGGTTGCCAAGACACTGGGCAAGGTTGAAAAGAAGGACAATTAAAGGCAACAATCATTAGAATGACCCTTAAGTGGCTAATCATCTCCCAAAGGTAAACCACATTTTCTAGCAGCTTGACCTTTGCCTGGGTGTCATGTCTGCAACTGTGCAGAACTTCCATTTGGCATGGAGAAGGCTTCAATAAAAAAAGTTTTAAATTTAAACAAAAGTATTAATGAGTGACTATTCACCTTTTTTCACCAAGACCTAAAGAGTGCACTCGATGTCAGTGTGTCAGTAAATGGCATGATCAACATGATTTATTTCTCAAGGAAAAGGAAGTGTCCACAAGAGAGCAAATGCCATTCCTCCTTAACTGGGAAAGTAAAACCACCCAGACCCAATGCCAGAGCTTTATCCATCACCTAGCTATTCTTCTGAGTAACATCCTCATCACAGTCCCAGCTACAGAAGAAGCTGTGAGAGAAAGGATACAGGACATTATTGCTGATGAACAGTCTTGGATATCCGTGAGTATGTTGGCAGAAAAGCTGCCACTTTAAAATTTTCTGTTCATAAGGTCTAAGTTGGTTCCTAAATTAGGAAATGCTTGTGACTGCTTTTAAATTTTAATTCCATTTCTGTTGTTGAGTTTTTGCCATAGTAAGGCAAGAGAAAGAGTGAAACATTCTATAAAGCTAATTTTACTGTTTCTCATATCAGGATATTTCCAATTGTTAACAATGTAATGCTGTTGTTAACAAGCAGTAATGCTGCTTGTATCAGTTCTTAAGGAGATCTCACAAAGTCACTTGGAAGCATATCTAGTGCGCATGTGATGGTCTTCCAACTTTTTTTTTTCCCTATAGAGGATGCTTATCTATTGTATGTAAAACCAAAAAATTATCAATAAGACAAAGTCAAAGCACTTGTTCAATTTCATCAGAATAGTTGCACCAATAGAATCAAATAGATAATTCTTAACCCTGAAATCATCATAGGGAAACTGTCTCTTCCTCTCTCTCTCCACCTGCAATTCACACAAATGTTGATGTTTATTTTGGATTGAATGTGTGTTGCAGAGTCCTTCCATAGAAATCTTGATTTTGCCTAGGATTCTAGCTCCTTTAATTGTGGAGGGTTCTCTGGTGTCCTGAAAATTTCCATGGATGGTTCCATTGTTAAGTTTAAACTGAAGTGTTTTGTTTTCATCCATCAGCCTCCCTTCTCTTCTCTTCATTCCAACCAATGATCTACACAATAGATTTCCCTAAGGGAAAATCATATCAGCATAATGAAATCCATATTTTGACTATAATAATTGTAATTGGGTGTTTGGCTTCAAAAGGAAGGAGCAAAAATGGGATATAGGGAACAATCTCACTTTTGTAACTTCTGTGCAGAAAACCAATGTCCTGCTGCAAGAGATCCAGTTGCTAACTCTGCAGGTGGAACAGCTGCACCAACTCTATCAAGAGGCTGTGTGTGACTCACCCCAAACTGAAGAAAAGATTCGGGAGCAGAAGTCCCTAAAATTCTCAGAAGGGAAATGTGCCACTGATGATTTCTTTCAAGGAAGATGGGATTTAGAGAAAAAGAAAGTAAGGTCCATGGAAGTATATGGCAATGAAAAACTAATATTTTTAAAATTATATTAATGGCCTCAATTTTACCTATTGTGCATAAAACTAACAACATTATTAACATTCTTAAAGGTTTTTTTGGGGCGGAGTGTTGTTGAGGGATGACAAACTGATTAACTCTTATACTCCTGATGTTGCATAGAAGTAAGCAGAAAGTCTGTACTCCTCCTTCTTCATTATAAACACACTTGATTTTTTGAGCGTGGAAATTTGTCATGCAATTTTAAAAGAAGATCCTATCACAATGATTATCAAAGGGAGAGATTTCAGACACAATGACCCCTAGTAGGGAGAAGTCTTTTTGAAGAGAGAACATTACTGATGGGTTGGCCAATGAGAGCCCATCACTAGGAGCATGCACAATATACTCTGGCTGATGAATTTTCAGAATCTAATGGGGAACACAGAATGCAAATTAACTAAGTGGAACCCCTTTCAACTGAGGCCCAAATAGTTCCAGGTCATCCCCTTTACAGTATTGTTGCTCATGCAGCATGGTGTAATGCGGAACTTAGGATGAGATCTGCATCTGGATCCTAGCTCCATCCATTGGTTCTTGGTTGACCTTGAATAAATAGCTTCGACTCTTAGGGTTTATTTACTCATCCATACAATGGAGATGATACGACCTAACTAACTAACTAACAGGATTGTAATGAGGCTCAAACCAGTCAATGGATCTGAAATGCTTTGTGAACCTTTAAGTGCCCTGAAAATGGAAGGCATTATTATACCTAACAAAATTCTGTGCCACCAAAATAAAGCGTTTGCCTGTGGGGAGTGCACTAGCAATTAATTTTGTGAATTAATTTTTTAAATCACTTAGGTGTATATCTAAATAATATGGTTGCAATTAATGAAAATTAATCTGCAGTAATGTTTTGGAAATCAGATTGTCTGGTTTGAAAAAAATTTAGTTTTACCACATATATTTTTTTTTTTTTAATTTAAACTCTTATCTGAGGAGCTGCTAATGTTTTGATTCCATTAGGAACGAAAGCTGGCTTGTGCTGTACTTTAGGAGTGTCAATATATATTCTTTTTGTCTTCTTCTCCCCCTCACCTCTCCAAACCAATTGTACTCAGCATCAACAAAGGTTTCATCAAAAACAATTATTTCAGTGTCCATTCTAATATGAATACACAAGTAACTGCTTGTACGATTTTTTTTTTTTGGTCTGATAAGGTATTAAATGTACAGCTCTGAGCCAACCTTAAAAACACAATATAAATGTCAGGTCTCTAACTCAACTTGATGAGTACAGAGAGTTTTAAGCCTTTGGAGCTGATTATCTTTTTATGGAGGGTGTGAGTATGCTCACTGCCAATGTGGCAAGTGACATGCCCACTACTGCCATCTAGTGGTTTGGATTCTCCTAGTGTCTACTTGAGAGCCTTGAATGTTCACCAATCCAGGAGCCAGGCTTCCAAGGCTCAGTGGCATCTCATTGTGATGGCTTTTCAGGGGAAGCTCCAATACTCATTTTCTACCTCTTCCTTTTCTACTCCTTTCCAGAGTATGGCCTGGCACAATAGAGAGAACCTGGACCCTGTTTAATGGGGAGGGAGGGAGGATATTACTTCCCAAGAAATCCATTAATATCTCTGTTGAGGGAAAAGCACATGAATCCCTTGGACTCTCAACCATATGGCTTGAGATGAAGGCCCCAGACCCCAAGGCAAAAAAGAGGAGAAGGAATTCTTTGGGCAGCAGGGTCCCACAATTCAGATTCTTATCAAGACAAGGTGAAAAGGTGATTTCCTGGCTTTAGGGTTATCTTGATATGAGAAGAGAGTCATGCACATGGCAGCAGTGAAATCTACACCACAATATGGGGGAGCAAAAGGCCTGAACTTTGACCCCTTATATTACCATGTATTATTTGACCCATGTAGGTCTCTCTGTTTAGAATCCCCTTCCAAGAGAGTGAAGCCCTCAGCTAGTACCATGACTATGGAAGTCAGTCTTTGTCTCTGGGGGTGAAAGAAGAATATTATATTTCCTCTCTGGTAATTCCAAATTAATTTCCTCCCACAAGGAGTCCAAACCACAGGATTTCTCAAGGACATTACAAGCTAGGAAAAATATAGAAATCAACAGAGGGGGAGGAAAATGCTAGAGCTAGTTTATGGACTAGTGGGAGTCCTTTCTATGTTTCCTGAGGGGTGGAACAAAGGTCATCCTGTGCCAACATCATACATGTCTTCTCTTGAGTGCCTTTATCCACACCTGTGGAAACCTATATGTTTGTTATATTCAAATGTCATCCTGTGATTTCCTTGGAGGCAGCACAGAAAGCGAAGTGCCTGCAGCTCAGACTCATGAGTCTGGGCCTAGTCTGACTCCTTGATTTTGTCTCTGTCATCGTGACCACTTCATCTGACAATAGAAGTAATGATGGCATTGCTTCTGTTGTCAAATAAAGTAGCTGGAAATAACATCTCACCCCATTCCAACTAAGCCAAAAGTTGGTTTCATGCTAATGATAGGTGCCTTTCACAAATGGAACCAAAAACATTAACAAAAAGAAGTTTTGACTTAAATGGAAATATGACTTTTCTATTACAAAGCATTTAAACTATATTGTCCCAACTGATTCTCCCAATAACCTTGTGGGGTATGGGGCACAATGATCCTGATTCCCATTTTTGAGAGGTGAGGAACTGAGGCCTAGGCAGGTGAGACAAATCTTGACCTCAAAACCTAGGCCATCTGATTTATTGTCTAGTACTCTACTTAGTTTGCTGCTGAAGTGGATGCAGGTTGTATTTGTTGATGAAATTAACTTGGATCCAAAAAAAGTACTGACCTATCACCTATGGCTCCAGTAGAGGTAACCCCAGAAACATTCACTAATTTAAGACACTCGTAAGGACTATCTTCTTTGTTTTGACGCAGGGAGAAACTCAACGGGAACAAAACAAAATGAAGACTTTGCTGACAGAAGAGTTAGACGAGAAATTCACGCAGCAAGAGAAAGAAAAAAGTCAACAGATTCTATTGAGTGCTGAGCAGAGTTTGCAGAACCCTACAACAGTAAGCCTGGAAGAAAAGGTGAAGAAACTTAAGAAAGAACTCAGTGAAATTAAATTGTCAAATGAAACCATGAAAACTCAGCTGAGGAAAGTCATCAAACTCAAAGTAAGTTGAGATAAGTGAGGTTGTTTCAGAAACTCAACCAGTTTCTTTGTCGATTACTATTTCTGAAAGCCCATTTATTTCACTTAAACAAACAGGTCCCCTTTTCCCTCTTCACTTAATGGAAAATTTCTAAACTATTAATCCTATTGTTTTCCTCTGGACCTTCTCCAAGTTCTTTACTGAGTGTTGTAGTTGTAAAATCCCCCAAATCAACTTTCACATTTCACCAGATGTTATCTTTCAATTCAGAGACCTTTGGCACTATGGATTCATAGAGGGCTATACTTGGAGTCAGCAGACCTGTCTTTGAATTGGCAGCTCTTTGACTATGGGAAAGGCTCCAAGCCTCAGTTTCTTCACATGTAAAATAGGTCAGCCAGACCTGTACTACTCATCTCATAGTTGTTGTTGTAAAGCTTAAAGCGGATAACAAACATGAAGTTCTATATGAATGATAACTTATTCTGTACTTATGGATCAGCCAGTGAAATTGTCAGTTTATTGGCAACAGTCTAGCCAGACCTTCCCTCTTGTTTCTCTGTGTGTGGGTAGCACAGAATATAAGCTCCTTGAAGCTGGGACCTCATTTTGTACTTTCTATTGAATTTTTGGTCTGAGTCATGACACCCAGTATACTTTACTTTGGTCTGAGTAGACTCTTAATTTTTATTTTGTTGTTTGTTAAGCATGATGATATTTGTGATTGTATGTCTTTGCTCCTCAATTGTGAGTCACTAGGTGGACCAGAGCATAGAGCCCTGGCCCTGGAGTAAGGAAGACATGAGTTCATATCTACCCTTACACAGTTACTAGCTGTGTGACTTCGGGCACTAATCTGTGTTCCACCTCAGTTTCCTCAACTGTGAAATGGAGTTAATATCAAACTGACTTCTCTGGGTTGTTTTGAGGATCAAATGAGAGGATCTTTGTAAAGTGCTTTGCTCACTACCTTGCTCTTAGTAGGTACATGATAAATAATTGTATGCTTCCTCTATTTTATATTTGCCTGGCATTTTAGAAGGAAGATATGTATCTGGCCTATCATATAGAGGAGAGACAGAATCATAATCATTCTCTCCTCACCCCCACAGAATAAAATCATGAAGAAGATGCGAGAATCTTTAAAAATGGTTGAAGCCTTTAAAGAGAATACAGCTCAAACAACAGACTGCACTGAGCAAGAAGCCAGAGAGGACATAGAATGGCCTATCCCACACAAAGCACCTGAAGAGGTAGTAAAATCAGAAAACACAGGTACTCTTTTTCCCTACTTTCTAACAAGAACCATTTTTTAAAAGGGATGTCTAAAAGGTTAGTATCAATTTATCATTGTTTTGATTAAAAGTCAATTTCTCATATCTCTTGCTTAGGAATTTATAGTCTTATCCAATTACTGTGGAAATTCTTTTTGATTTTTTGTTCAAAGGTTCTTTATTTCTCATTTGACCAATTTTCCTAAAAAATCGTTCTTTTCTAGTATGAAAGTTCTCCATAAAATAATATTGTATCTTCAAATATGTTTCTTCATATCTAATTCACTATTTGTTATGCACCTACTGGCAATAGTGTATGCCCAATAGTTTTTACTTGAGTAAATGCTACAGCAATGAAATTAAGTGTATTTTATATTAAAATGTTTCATGTACTTCTTAAGTTCTACAACAAATATTAATCAAACACTTTCTGTGGTCACATTACAGTTTACTAGGAGGACAGGGGGCAGTGAGGTGGCGCAGTGGATACCGTGCTTGGCCTAAAGTCAGGAAGACTCATCTTTCTGAGTTCAAATCCAGTCTCAGACACTTATAAAGTATGTGAAGCTGGGCAAATC